TCCAGGCACGTGGTAGGCTTTAGGAACAAGCCAGTACTGGTGAGGCCTGGTCAAGTTATTAGTCTTATCCGATAGCAGCTGAGAACAGCCACAGTTGTAAGTTGTCTGTTCAAGCAAAAGCTTGATCAAATAACCCCAAACATAATAAAAAAGTGGACGAGTCATCAATTATGTTAAACCTGATGTCTGATGCCAGCTCAGAAATATCCTCTAGTGGCGGGAAGTTATCAATTGGAAACATTTCACAATGTCTGAAATTAAACTTTCATGGTGCGAAGATATTTGCAACTCCTTTAGGAGGTCAGCCTTATCATCCTCTACGTTTTCATTGTCCGACAGTTCGAACAGTTTCTTTATCCAGAGGTGTTTTAGTCCTGAGGTGAACTGATGCACATTTGGGTTCGTGTTGCAGCCCAGCATTTGTCGCATATAGCTCCAAAAAACGTTCTCAAGTGTGTCTTGCTGCAGGCGTCGTGTAAGTAAGAACTTAAAGTCATGGCTGCTTGAAAGCTCATCCCAGAGCATGAGGACACGTTTCATAGTAACTTGCCACCCAATGATTCCTCCTACTTTGGAACTGCCATGCTGAAATCCATCCGAGTTACTGGTGGAGAAAATCAAGTATTTCAGATTCTCCCTTCAGAATGGCATGACGCAGCTTCTGTCCTGTCTTCTTAAATTTTTTAGCTATTTAGACAATTCAAAAAGTATGCACATCCTATCACAGAAATAGGCTGTAGCCATGGCTGCCTCAGGAAGTTCCTTGGCATAAACAAGGGATATGATTGCAAGAAAGAGTGAGGCACTCAGTACCTGTGGGGCACAATTTTCTTCCATGTTACAGAAAGGTTCTTGAAAAAAATGTGTCTCTCAGTAAGTTTCGGAGCCAATTGCAAGCTCATCTCATGAATAGAACAATAAAGTTCAACAATAGAAGACCACTCAATGACCTCATTTCCAATGCAAAGTTTGTGGGCTTGGAGATTGCTCTTGGTTGTTTTTTGGAAGGTGCGGAACATCAAAGACAAAGTAAACGTGTTCGTTGTCAACTTCAAAAAATGGCTTATCACCACACACACGAAGCTTACGTTTGAAGCCCCCTAACCAGAGACCACAGCCTTTACTGTGAAGTCAACAGTCTTAAAGGGGCGATGCACTAATATTTGTATTTTGCGCAAATACCGCTTAGAAAGAAGCCCTGACGTTAATGGTCTGTGAAATACCCGCTCGTTTTCACCACACGCGATCGAAGTTGCAGAAAAAAATAAAGAAAAACGAGCAGAGTTCACCCCCTCAACTCGCAGCCAGAACAAGCGGCCCCGTGATCTGGAGCCGATTATATGCCGCCAATGTTGATCATAGCCATGCGCTGGGGTGGCAAGGCGCAGGACACGCGCTGAGTTCCAGACATTGTTACGGTTCGGCTGTTGTCGTCACTGCAGCGATTGGACACAGGACACTACCCGAATGTTTCTCGAGCTATCGATTATCACGAGCCCAAATCGAGTGTCCACGCCATGCTCGGGTCCTATGAGCCGTATTCAAATATCGTCACTGGGTGGTACTGCTAGGACACTACCCGAATGAATAATAACTCTACACAGGACACTACCCGAATGTTTCTCGAGGTATCGATTATCACAAGCCCAAATCGAGTGTCCACGCCATGCTCGGGTTCTATGAGCCGTATTCAAATATCGTCACTGGGTGGTACTGCTACCGCCCAGCTACGTCATCAGGTTCTTCGAAGAAGAGATTGAATGAAAACACTCGGTTTTGTCCTCAAAATTACAGCGCAACAAAGCAGTTTCTTGGTCAGTGGTGTTGCGTGCGAGTATCCTCGAGTCCCACTAGTGCCAGTAAGCTCGTGTAAAGTGAAAAACATTTCAATTGAATATCGTTGCACCGCCCTTTTCAGCTCCCGAATGAAAGAAATGAGACTGCGTTAAACAGAAGACGTTGTTGGAGTGTGCACAACAGTGTATGCAAGAGGCTAAACGCACCTCCTGGAATTTCAGACAGCATAACAACCAAGGCTCTATCTGCAATGTCAGAGGTTCGTTTAACACCGTCATCTGTAAACCCATGGACAATGTCGTGTGCAGGGTCGTAAGTTAAATTCTTTTTTTAAAACAATTTCATCGAAAATCAACATGCACACACGTTCAAGTGCAGCCAGACAGCCCGGCAGAAACAACAGCGCGAGAAGCTCCAACCGATCGGCTGCACGAATTCACGCCGAGCATGCGAGCACGCGGGCGGTCATGCGTCACCTCGGTTGATGCAAAGTCAACCGAACATGATGCAGCAGAAAGCACAGATGGACGGCACGCACGGCACAGACGAACGACGCAGGGACGAGCAGAGGCCATGCAGAATGATGCAGAGGCGACGGCGTGCAGGCAGGCAGGCCATGGCAGGCGCCATTCATCACGTGGTTTTTATGACGTACTTGATTTAAATTATTTAGTCGTTTTAAAGGGAAGCTACGGAGCTTCTTGGAAAAAATGAGTTAGAAGTTAATTCTAGTGTATTTTTACCCCGTGAACCCGAATACCCAAACCATTTGCTGCGTAAGTATTGTTAAACGCGAGAAAAACGCGAAAGAAAGTCGCTGTCCGTGACGTCATCGACGGCCCTTTTGGCTGCCCAAGGCTAGGGGGGCGGGGCTTCAGCCCTATTTTGAAAGTGCTCTTGTGGCTCTCCGGCGCGTCGCATTGAAATATAATTTTGATATCTGTTATTCTAAAGGCCAAATGAACGCAATTCAAGCGTTTTTTCTCAAATGTAGAAGTGCCCCATCTTCCCTTTAAGTACTTTAAACAATTTTAAAGCATTGTCATTTAAAAAATAAATACTTTTCACAGAAAGAGTTCTAATTAATTTTAACCAAATTACAGAAAAGCGCCACATAGCGGAGGGTATTAAACGCACTATCTGGGCCGCGAATCGGCTCTTGTGTCCTCTCTTTACGTTTGCTATATTACTCTATGAGCAGCTGACGGACGAGCTGAGTCGCCCTTGCTAAGGAGCACAACTGCGATTGGCACGCCATCTACCCAGGAAGACGGCGCGGACCACTCCTCCGGCGATTACTTCAGCTTTGCAATGACAACGGCGTCAAGTTCCATCTCCCAGAATGAAGCTTTGCATTTCCTCCAGGACGCAGAGTGCACTTCCATCGCCTCACTTCAGAGGTACGATGCCGTGCGTCAAGCATTTGTGCGCTATAATACTGCGCTCCCATCCAGTGCCTCGGTGGAGAGGGTATTCAGCGTGGCGGCTGACATCTTTACAAAGAAGCGGGGAAAGATGTCGGATGCAACTCTTGAGAGTCAGCTACTGCTGAAGATCAACAAAGTGTGACTTGATCAAACAATAAACAATTTCATAATCTATAATGTTCTTCGTTTGTTTCCTATTAATAGTGCAGTAAAGTTGAAAGTAACGCCGCGAAAGTGACGGATTACTTTTCGGAGTAACGGTCACTTACTTTTACGGAAGGGTAATTGTAATTGTAATAAATTACATTTCAGACCTGAGTAACTGTAACTGTAATTCCTTACTTTTTTTTAGTAACGTGTACAAGTATGCTACTACTGAGGCCAGCACGTGCGGCGCGTGGAACACCAATCCCTGCTTTCTCCTTGATGCTTGGGTAATATAGCAATAGTTCTATTGATCTAACAAGCACGTAGCTTTCACTTGTAAAGATGAAAAGCCTGTCTTTATTCTCCTTCGGCCCGAAGTCCGTTCATTTCACTGTCCTCTTAAAGAGCGCGTGGAGGTCTTTGACGTCATTTTCGTTGCGTGTGCTCGCACACACCGGCGGCTGCTGGCTCGTGGAAAGAACGTGCGCCACTTATTATGGACACTAAATTCTTTGGTTCAGTATCCCTTTAAAGGAGCTGTGCAACAATTTTTGTACTCTGCACAAATACCGCTTAAAACGGATCCCTAACGTTAATGACCTATGAAACACGCGTTCGTTTTTCACCCCACGCAATAGAAGTCCCAGAAAAAAAATTTAAGAAAAACGAGTAGCGTTCACCCCCTCAACTCGCAGCCAGAACAAGCGGCCACGTGATCTGGAGCCGATTATATGCCGCCAATGTTGCTCATAGCCACGCGCTGGGGTTGGCAAAGCGCAGGACACGCGCTGAGTTCCAGACATTGTTATGGCTCGGCTGTTGTCGTCGTTGCAGCGATTGGACACGGGCCACTACCCGAACGCTTCTCGAGCTAGTAATTATCACGAGCCTAAGTCGAGTGCCCACGCAATGCTCGGGTCCAATCTATGAACCGCATTCAAATATCGTCACTTGGGTGTACTGCGATCCCCGAGTTACGTCATCAAATTTTGCAAAGGAGAGATTGAATGAAAATGATCGCTTTTGTCCTCGAAATTACACCGCAACAAAGGAGTTTCTTGGCCAATGGCGTTGCGTGTGAGTATCCTTGAGTCCCAGGTGTGCCAGTAAGCTCGTGTAGAGAGAAAAACATTCCAATTGAATATCGTTGCACAGCTCCTTTAAGGGATATTCACACGAGAAGGAAATCACGGGGATTTCTCCCCTGCGCGCGCATCACGCAGCGGAGGGAGGCAGGGATGCTCGGGCGGCACAAACAATCCTGCTTTGGCAGCGGATCAGCTTGTTTTCAAGAAAAGATTGTCATTAAAATATTCGCTGTCAAATGTATAGAGCTGAGCAAACTTTTCTGCGGTGGTATCAAGTGTGGAAACCGCTCAAACGGACTCCAAACGCTGACATCCCTCCCCCTGACATTTCTTCGGAGTAAACGAGGAAGCAGAGGAAGACTTTGCGACTGCTGTCGACGTCACGCACATCCCAGCATAGATTTCTCGCTCTTGTGTATACCCCTTGTTAAGAGTGAACGGAGTATAAGGTGGCTTCAGTCACAGTCTAATATCAATCCTGTTGAAATGGCAGACTGCCGGTCGTTTTTCATAAAATACTTGTCTCGTATAAAAGATCTACCTTTGAGGACGTCGGAACAGACCGGTACTTTCATGACGTTTGGCACCAGGACCCTGATGTGCTTGAATGAGCGGCATCCGCACGTCTCAAAGATGTGTACTTGGTAGCAGTACTCGTCGCAGGCCTGCGCACGGGTCGGAAGACATATCAGAACCGCAAATCTCCAAAAGAAAAAAAAAAAAAAAAAACGGGGTTATGCTTTTGCAGCGCCTCGTTGCGGTGACCGTTGCACCTTGAGGCAGGCGGCAAACTCTAAAAAAAATCTCGTCGTGAAAGAGCTCCTAGAGGTTCTTTGGTTTGTTCATATTTTTCAACCTTAAACGCTCTTTTAATGACTTTCTAAAAGAGTTATTCGTGAAAAACCTATAGGTTATTTTTAAACTATTTTTTATGCAAAAAAGTTCTTTATCGTCAGTTGTTCTTCTTGTACGCCACAGGGCAATAGTTAATGAGGCGAAACCTTTCTTCACAAGTTGAAAGAGTGCTTGAGGAATGAAAAAAACCTCTCAAGAACGACTTTTTTTTGTGTGTGCGTAGTAAACAAATGCGTCACGTCACATTTCTTTCGTCAATTGACACCGCGAAACGTGCAAGATCGCATTGGGGCGTATTCTGCAGCGAAGCACACCAGAACCGCAGCCCCGTTCGTTTGTTTTTGTAATCGGTTTGGTTGGTGCTACGGCCAAGACGACGAGCGCCCTTCCGATATACCATGGGTGCTGCTTGATTCCCTATACCGTATTGTGGCGTCGGCTGCGGTAAGACTTAATAGAGAATTTTAGGGAACCGCTTTTGCACGTCCGATAGGATACAATGGGCCTTCTGGTACGAACTGCGCATGTGCTTCCGCATAAGACGCGCACAGGCGCAGTGCGAACCGGAGGGCCCGTCGTACCGCATCGGATGTGCAAAAACGGTTCCCTAAAACTCCCTAATATGTATAACGGAGTAAAAATACCAAGGTCGTAGTGCTACATTTTCGATGTCGTCTGAAGAAGAGATCTGACACGACTGCAGCGTCGGCATTCGGCAGGGCCTTGTGCTCCCTCTGAATAACAGTGAGTACCAACAGAGCACTGTCGCAGCGCTCGTAACAGTTTTCTTCCTCTCGTTAGCCTTCTTCCGGTGACGCTGGAACTGCAGCCCTTTGGCTTTATTTAAGGGAGGTGTTGCCTCAGGACTAATGCGCAACCACTTGGTGTTATTTGCTACTCACCATGGTTCAGGAAAAAGTTCGCACTAAAAACCTCAAGCTTTCTTACGATATATTAAATTGGTCGCTTTCCAGCCTTATGGAGCAGTCTCAAAAGCCGATGCCCATTTGGTTGGTCGAAGTCGGGCGCCCCAAGTAGAATCAATGGCGCTTTCAGACTGCTCTAAGATTTTCAAATCGCGCCGTCCTCTCACTTGTAGCGCTTTGACGAGCTCTGACTTCAAGTGGCAGCGGCGAAAACGCGTGCCAGACGACCGGTCACGCGACACTAGCCACTTTAGCCGTTTCCACTGTGAGGTTGAAAGACAAAGAAGCCGATACGTTCGAAAGGTTTAGTGTCAGACGCCGCCATGTTTGATGTCACACCGATCCCACTGTGCTCTCCAGTGAGTAGAGGAAATGCTCGGCGCTTGACGGGTGATGTTCGCAGCAAAGACCAGCTTCAGCATTGAAGGCTGCCATTTTCCGTCCGGGCAAGTGGACATGGCGATGGTAGTGCGACGTGCAGGTTAGACATTTACATGTACACTTAAAAAAGGTGACGAATGTGACGTATTGGCGACACGTTTGTGGAGGCAATCGCCTCCAAGAATTAGACGCCAATACGTCGACCTTCCGTGACTTTTTAGAATGTACGTGTAAACGTCCAACGTAGCCCCTCAGGGGTGCTGAACCGACGGATAAAAGGCATTGGCAAAACCCTTCATATCGGGCGTTATCTTGCGCCATGGCAGTCGAGCGGTTTCTTAAGCTGCCCTCGTTATCCGGTTCCGTGACAGTGCTCTGGCCGCTCGGAAACGTTGCCGAGCATTCGACTGGCGTGCCGTTCCTCTATCTCGTATCGGGAGGCGCTCCCGAATCTCTCAGATCCGATACACATGAATTGGGCCGCTGAAAAACGACCCGCCGAATATACCGTTAGAGCGTTAGAGATAATTTTTCAGCGTTAAGTGCGCCAGCATACGTGCAGCGTGTATACTAGGGTATCCTGATGTCCCCACAACCATCGCACGGGCCTCAACTGTTTCTTGCAAGCTTCGAGAGTGCATGCAAATCAAAATACGCCGTATACGCACTCGTTTGGTGTACACGACTCCCGGGGCGACGTACTTCTTGAGCTTCTCGGGCCAGTCGTGCTGGCAGGGGCTCTTGTAAGGTGGCTCAAGGTTTTTAGAGGTCGTCTGGAAATAGTAAAGGCGAGAGCATTCCTTAAACGAAAGAAGGGACACGGAAAAGACAATATAGACGCCAGTCTTTTTTTCTATGTTACTCTTGTGTTTTCTTAATTTAGACACCAACACGCTCAACTATCCACTCAGGGTATTCGATGATGAGTTCTTCCGCTCATATCCAACGAGTCCTGAACGGCTGAAAAATATTTCCCTTTTTTATGTATGTGGGTAATTTGCAAATTATTCGTACCTTGTCTGTAAGGTTTATATTAAGCAACTTTCAGAGGAGACAAACTTACCCACGGACCTAACCACGGAGATTTTAACTTAACTTCGTCCATCTTCCAACAAACTTGCGTGCTCTTTTATAAAAAAAAAAAAATGTGCACAGTTAGTGTCGTTATTAATCATGGACGTCAACGAGCGTACTAGAGCTTCTTCGGGGCTGATACTTATGCGTTGTATTTAAAATTAGATATCCCTTCAAATACACTTGTCCGAGATAAAACACTTCGTACATACTCTGCAGAAAGTCTCGAATAAAAAGTAGTGCTAGACACAACCTAAGACAACGAAAAACTGACCCCTGCCCACGCTGCCCTTCTTTCATTCTAATCACAACTGGGTCAGCCATTTGTTTCTCGCACCGCAGTCACAAGCTGGTGCAACACGCTCACACCTTTGCAGCAGTGAATGGAGAGAAAGCGACAACATACTGAAATCGCTGATAAGACCAGCAGAATTGCTAAGAGAAGTGCGTATAATTCTGTAATGACCCTCGTAATACCCCTGATCTGAGTGTCGGTCCAGTCAAGCAACATAACGCAATGTGTCAATGTAACGTTAAATAGCACTGAGAGCTTAAGAACCGAAGGACGTTGCAATTCAGTGGCATCTAAGTATCGCGTCGCAGCCAATGAGCTTGCAGCTTTAGACGAGGAGAACGTCGCATAACGTGTTCCAAGCCAAGTCTCGAGAACACAAGAAGTCACGCCCTGCCTTTTTTTAGCTGTTCGTAATCATAGCTTTAAAGATTTTGGAAGCGGAGCTTCCTTGGCCAATCGCCTAAGGTGGTAAATGATCGCTTGCAAAATAAAAATTATAAACACTTAAAACGACACTACCCATAATTCAAAAAAAAAAAAATGTGCGACTATTCTGAAAAAGTGTTATTGAAACGCACTTTGAATTAAAGCGATGCGAATCCTTTAAATCAAAATATAAGGTAAAGAGCGACCTTCGCCTTCTGGTTTGAACAATATACGATAAGTCACTAATGACTAAGACACACTGTGAATGGCGGGTGTTGTTTTGGCCATACCTCGGCAAACCTCACTCATGAGGGCCCTCACTCACCCTCACTCACCCTCATCTTCACAGGTGAGGTGAGGGTGAGTGAGTTTCTGAACCAGGAATATTCATGAGTGTGAGGGTGAGTGAGGGCCGTGAGGGCTGTGAGGGCGGTGAGGGCCGTGAGGGCGGTGAGGGCGGTGAGGGCCGTGAGGGCCGTGAGGGCGGTGAGGGCCGTGAGGGGCGTGAGGGCCATGAGTGCGTGAGGGGCGTGAGGCCGGTGAGTGGCGTGAGGGCCGTGAGTGCGTGAGTGGTGTGAGGGCGGTGAGTGCGTGAGGGGTGTGAGGGCCATGAGTGCGTGAGGGCAGTGAGTGGCATGAGAGGCGTGAGGGCCGTGAGGGCGGTGAGTGCATGAGGTGTGTGAGGGCCGTGAGGGCGGTGAGTGCGTGAGGCCCCCTTCAGATCGAGCATCTTTCTCAGAAATTTTGGTGTTAATGGCGGGTTGTTCTCTAGCTTTCCCTAGATCGACACGAATTACTGAGATCGGTCCGGCTCGAAATAAGCAAGCAACTTGGAGCAATTCGAATACGTTTGAAGCGGCTGCATCCAATCAGGGACACAAAATTTTCACGTGATACCTCGTGCCGGTGATGATGACACCAAAAGACTTGGTTCTGGTTTGAAATCGATCGTTTTTTGGAAATAAACTGTTTCAGAAAGGTATTCTTAATGAGATTTAAATGAATAAAAACACGTTTATAACGTGTAATTGTGTCTAAATAGTGCAAGAAAAATAAACTTTTATGATGACGATGGCAAATCGCAGCAATTGGTTGCTGCGTGTGATCGCGGGCGTTGCGACGTAAAGTTTCTGGGCGAAATTGCCCCATCTGAAGCTGGCCTGAGTGGCGTGAGGGCCATCAGTGCGTGAGGGGCGTGAGGGGTGTGAGGGCCGCAAGGGCGGTGAGGGGCGTGAGGGCGGTGAGTGGCGTGAGGGCGGTGAGTGGCGTGAGGGCGGTGAGTGGCGTGAGGGCCGTGAGGGCGGTGAAGGCCGTGAGGGCGAGGAGGGCGGTGAGGGCAGTGAGTGGCGTGAGGGTTATGAGTGCGTGAGGGCCGTGAGGGCGATGAGGGCCGTGAGGGCGGTGAGGGCCGTGAGGGCGCTGAGGGCGGTGAGGGCCGTGAGGGCGGTGAATGACGTGAGGGCTGTGAGTGGCGTGAGGGCCATGAGTGAGTGAGGGCCGTGAGGGCCGTGAGGGCCTTGAGGGCGGTGAGGGGCGTGAGGGGCGTGAGGGCCGTGAGGGCGGTGAGTGCGTGAGGGCCGTGAGGTTCAGTGAGGGTGAGTGAAGGGCTGAAGGTGAGTGTGACTGTGAGGGTGAGGTTGAGTGAGGGGCTGAAGGTGAATGTAGCTGTGAGGGTGAGGGTGAGTGAGGGGTTTAGGTGAGTGTGGCTGTGAGGGTGAGGGTGAGTGAGGGCGACCTAAAATGCCGACCTCTGGTTTTGGCACGCTCTCCGACGTGGGCGTTTGTAAAGTTCAAGACAAGTGATGGAGTCCAATGTATGGATCTCCAGAACTCCCTCTGTGCAGGACATGCCATGTGCTCTCGAAAGCCGCGGTCACACTGCTTATATATCATACAAAAGACAGGCAGCAGACTGAGTCTGAGGCGTGCTTCTTCTGTATGTGAAGATCCCGTGAGACTGGTCATGCAAGAGCCGTGGGCAGATATCTTCGAAACATACGTATGTATGTGGCAAACATGCTTCGAGCATAACTGAAGAATGCCAAGAGACAAAAACTAAAGGCTTTTCAGCAAAATGGTTGGCGTTTATCGCAAACGAACTATAACATTAGATGCAGAAAATTCCACGTGCAAATTCCTTGGCATACTAGCTTAGGTACCTGCTGCCACGTTCGCCTGCGAGCAAGCCCGCCCGTGGACAAATACTTCTTGTGCTTGGCTTCCACGCAAAGGGCCGACGTTTGACTCCTTTTCATTATCTCTATGAATGTCACGTTCTGGTAGATTCAAGAACCCTGTTGGCTTGTTCGAGGTCCGAATGTTCTGCTCGCCCAACTGTCTACGTTGATTGTTCCAGAAGCCTACGCGTGTACAAAAGGGACTCCTCGGGGCAAACCACGACCAGTATCGTTCTTGGGCTCGAACCTACGTTCCCTACCAGTCACGCACTGTTCAGGCAGAGCTCGTGCTCTCGTGTCGAGTACGCGCCACGCCTTGCATGTCACTGGGCGATGCATTAAGGCCGGTTCTCACATGCAGCGAAGCGCTGATGTAGCGCTCCTCACGTGCCGTCAGCTACTTATCGTCTGCCATGAGCAACAGTTTCGACGGTGGAATACAAAGCTGGTGAACGCTCCCATCAGCACGCGCTTAGCGCGAGGTAAGCGCTATGCTTGTAGCGCTCCGCTGCATGTGGGAACAGGCCTTTACTGTGACGTGTCTTTGTGCTCCAGACATGCCCGTGATTATCGCTTGACCGCTACAATCGTACCACCTCGTACCACCCGCAGACCAATGGACTGACGGAGCGTTTGATAAGAACAATCACCGAGATGGTTTTAATGTACGTCGACGTAGAGCACAAGGCGTGGTAGGAGGTGATACTTTACATTACGTTTGCTTACAACACGGTCGTGCGAGAGACCACCGGGGTGAAACCATTTCAGCTGGTTCAAGGTTGCAAAGTAACGATGATGCTGGACGCAATGTTGTCCCAAAGACAAAGTCTCTACGGAAGCGACGACATCCTGGAGGTTTCACAACGGCCATGCAGGACAAGTCCGCTAGCTCGTCAGAATCTGAATTCAAGATCAACAACCTGTTGATGCCGGCCGCGACAACCATCGTCGTCGGGACGTCTACTTCTAACCCGGACACGGGGTGTGGGTGTGGACACCGATTCACCGCCGCGGTCTGTGAGAATCTCCTGAAACGGTACCTCGAACCCTCTGAGGTACTTCGTCGAGTCGGAGATCACAACTACGTGGTGATGCTCGAAGAAACAAGAACATCACCATGCCGCGTACCACGACCTGAAGTCGTCCACGTCTCGTGCCTCAGGACGCACTAAGCTCAATAAGACTGTGAACTGTGATCCCGTACTACGCTCGATTTATCAGCTTTTGTGTTTCATCCGCATCCGTAATTTCCCCATATTTTGTTTCTTTTCCTCTTTTTCGTTTCCTTGCATGTTGCATCGAGACGATGGTCTTTTTAAAAGAGGAGTAATGCCACGCACACCTTTGAGGAAGAGCGTCCGTGGCCGAATGGTTATCGTGTCTAGCTCGCACGCAAAGGGCAGAAGTTAGATTCCTGGAAGCAAACGTACCTTATTGTCATTTGTGTAAATGACGCGTTCCGGTAAACTCGAAAACTCTGTTGCTTGTTCGGGGTCCGAATGTTCTACGCGCCGAACTATTCACGCCGATTGTTCCAGAGCTCCACGCCCGTACAAAAGGTGCTCCGCATGACGAGCAGCGAACAGTCTTGCTCTTGCACTCGAACCTGCTGCTACGCCGATTTCGACGCCCGCGACTCCCTGTTGTTATTTTCCGTTTCCTTTTTGGTTCAGCACAATTTCGCCACATTAAACGTTTCTGTTTCCTTAGTTATTCTTCGTGTCGTCACCTTTTCATTCGTGACAATACCTTGACCACGCCGATGTAGGTGGTGGCTCCCGGCGGGACGAACACAGCATTGTCGAAAACCTCTTCCTCCGTGCCAGCCTGGTTAATCATCACGTAGAAACCAGCCTCCACGGTCAGCGGAAGGAACTCGTCGGGCTCCATGTTCAGCGACATTAGAAGACCTACGCATCATATAGCGGAGCACAATTTTTACATTTCAATTACTCAAGGGGTCACTGCATATGTTTTATCATTTGTGATTCGTTACATCGCATTTGTATAAGATAATTAATCGTTGTAGCAGCACCGTCATCCGCTAGTAGCACATTGTTGTTGTAGTTGATATTTACATTTCTTTCACATCTATTTATTTGATCGGTGTTAATCCTTACCTTGACAACCGTACTCACGGCTGGCAATATTGTAGAATAAGTGAAACTAAACAAGCAAACATAAATGACTTTATGAAAAAAAAAAGGAAAGACATTTACAATTTTGTGTAATGCGAAATTAGAGCGCAGCTCTTCAGAAGGAGGAGGGAAGGGAACGAAGGGGAGGGTATACTTCTCCTCCCCTTCCGTACCCTCCCCTTCTCCTCCTCGCCTCCCATTTAGCGGAAATTTATTCGCTAAATTTCCCCACTAAATTTAGCAGGCCAAGTTTCCCTGCTAAATTTAGCAAGAAATTTAGCGAAAATTTTCCCGCTAAGTTCAGCGGGGAAATTGACGTCACGAGAACTCAACACTAATTCAGTTTCCCAGCTAAATTTAGGGGGAAACTTTGACGTTCCATAGTGTAACGCGCGTGGTTACGCCGACGCCGTCGCCGCTCAACCTGGGAAGGGTAGCCTAGCTAAGAGCTGTGCTCTAGAATTAGTGAATGAGCAATAATACATAAATAAACCCGTCAAATATTCACATCAACTTATCGATCAGTCGATTTATGAATTTATCGATCAATCACTCAGTCACTGAACAAATACATATTTTTAAAAAATTACACAGCCGTATTTCTAAGCGACAAATAATCCGATCAATACCAGAACGCTGTCGTTCTGAAGGATCCGGTACATATATATTCTTTTCGTGATGCAGGAACTGAAAAGTTTCTATAAAAAAAAAGCCTTAGTTCAAGGTTGAAGGGCAGTTTTACGTTGGCCAAACAATAGGCTACGTAAAAAGCAGCAAAGCAGCGTTCCAGAAATTCCTACAAAAATAGGTGCCCGGGAGAAGTGTCTGAGATCGCCTAAGAATAGCGATAACTGACTCCGTTGCTTAAGCATCCTAGAAATCGCAAACTCATGACGATACGTGGCCAATATCCTCATTAAAAAAGCAATCAAAGATCGCCAAACACCGAGGTCATCTGCGGCGATGGGAGCAGCATGTTCTGAAACCAGGACCACTGCCAATCAATAGCAAGCGAAGGATCCTCGCGCTTCCGACAATAGAACCGCGGAGCGAAATCTTGAATGCGCACAGCTCGTTGCCCATACAGCCCGGATTACGATTACACCCAGTGAGCGCACCTCGAGAACTGACAACCGGACCAATTACTCTAGTAAAAGACAAAAAAAAAAAAAAAAAAAAAAAAAAAACATAGTGTGTTAGTCTTGAGATGATTATCGCAGTATTACGTTTCCTATCCGTGAAAAATTACAGTTTTTCGACTAGTCATAATTGCTTTTATCATCTCCAAAAGCACAAACATTTTGCAATAACAGTGTTTGCAATCTCAAGAAAATGTCGCGCTTTCATTGGTCGCATATCGGCCGGAGCAATGCTCCTCCCATCGACGGAGATGACCTCGGTGTTTTCGATCTTTGACTGCTCTTTTGAATAGCAAAATCGGCAGCGCATCGTTATGATTTATGGATTCCTAGGATGCTTAGAGCCCCCAAAGTGAGTTATCGCCATGTCTCCCACCTTACGCAAGCTTATTGGCACAACTGAACCCATGTATACTCGCACACAATCCGACTGAACGAGAACATTCTTTGACATTGCGTTATTTCAATGAAAATGTGGACGATTCGTTTTAGTTTCTCTGCAAATCTTGATTACGAATTTGTGAAGGTGGCACCGTTAGCATTGACAACAATGCCATTCCCAGGATTTCGTTATGAAGCTTTGCGATCCCCGCGGTGACGATGTTTAAATGCCGATCATGACACGAGCTCTTGATTTGAGGTCATATGACAATCAAGGCCTCGACATGCATTCGGGTAGTGGCTCGTGCCCAATCGCTGCGATGAGGAAAATAGCCAAGCCTTAAGAGTGTGTGAAACTTGGTGCATGCTTTTTCTATTGAAAACCCTAGCGCGTGGTTATGATAAACATTTTCGGCATATAATTAACTCCAGATCACGGGGTTGCTCGTTTTTGGTGCGAAATAAAAAAGTGAACGCTGCTTTTTTTTTTTCTTTTTTTTTCTTTTTTTAGCGATTGTCGTTCTGCTAAAAAACAAACAAAAACATGTGTTTTATAGGTAGTGAATACCAAGAAAAACTAATGAAGGAAGATCCATTCATGGATTCTTAGGGATTGAGTTATCATGATTCTTGGGGAAACGTAACACACGTCTCCCTTTGGGAAACTCTAACGCTGATCCCTTCACTTTTCTGTTTTGACTTTCTCTCTTGGCTATCTGTTTTGCTTCTTCTATTCTTTGCTGCATCTTCTTGGCTTCGTTACGAAGCCAGTGTTAGCGTTTTCCAAAGGAAGACGTGCATGGCATTTCCCTAAGGGTCATGATAACTCATTCCCTAAGAATACACCAATTGAGCTTACTTTAAATCTTTTGACACCTACTCGAACCAGCGGTAGTACTTGGTTCTCACTTTATTTTATAGCACAAGCCAAGGCATACGTGCTCCGCACACCTGCAGGTTCAGACTCGCCCCAGCATCCGCACGCGCATTGGCTTCAGCCCCGTGACGTCGCCTCCCTTTCCCCCTTGTTCCTCACTACTCTCTGCCCCTCTACGCGGCGCGTTTCCCTTACCACTGTTTGGTTCACAGACGGACGGCGTCAGCTTATTCTTATCATGCAGGTACTAACGCTAACGTGTCAATAATTCTAAGCGGTGTTTACTGAAAATACAAAAGTTGTTACAACACTTTTATAACTAAAAACACTGATGATTAGGCTTCTTTCATCTGATGAAGAAACAAGGTAACAAATTAAAAAGGCAGGACGGTCCTTCGGATGGTCCGTCACCAGCGTGAGATTCTTATAACTTCCATAACGCGTCGTCGTCTGGTGCACCTTATGCATGCGCATGCAGCCAAAGCAAGCACGAAGGCTAGACGCGCATCCTTGAGGCCGGGTTTTCGGAGAGAAACGCCCGTCATCATTCTGTCTGTGTCAACTCAGCTCTAATGGCATTGCGGTCTCAATGGCAACGCGGTTGCAGAGGCAAAGAAGGTGAAAGCCTTCTTGTCTCTGAGACTGCTTGAACACTGGGGTGCCACTAACGCTCCCGCTTTGTTAGGTATCTATTCTTATTTTTTCATAAACTAAACGAACCCATCAATGAGTTCTAGAGAACGGGAAGTGCGTACGCGTTCCTTTCTTTTCTTTTTCTATTGTTGCAAACAGTAAAAATGTTCTTCTGAGGAAGCGTGTTTTAACGAGAGGACCGGTATAACTATGTCGACGATTTTGAAGCTCGCTCTAAAATTAGAGCACATTCGCAATATTTATGAATGATAATGAGAGATGGTAAAAATTAAGATCGCGTCCACTTCAAACTTCAGGAATGACGAAAATTGCATAGTTTCCGTGGATGTCGAACTTGACTGCCAAGGAAGGTACTTCCGTCGAGCATATGCCAAACTGTTTCCCAAAATTATTGAGCAAGCTGAATCCCTACCAACGACGACAAAGCTGCCGTACTATCTGTAGCCATCCGTTTATGTGCACATCGTTTTAGTGACACGGACGCTTTTAGAACCTGAAAAGTGAAAACAGCGCAATAGAGTCTAGTCTTGGTTGTGGGTATACAATTTAGAGCCTTTAGTTGAAATTCTAGGCCAGACTTCGCTTGATGAAATCGGCTAACGTACTTCCTCATACAGTGTGAATTGGAAGACCGAATCGAAACCTTTTCTTCGTGTGCGGTCCCTCAAGCTCTGTTATCTCTCAATTTGTCAGAGTTCAAAGTATGAGACTTCAACTTCATATTTCATTTAATGACTTGTGAAAACCAGCTCTTTCAAAAACCGTCAGCCATGCCAAAGAAGCATGAAGGACTGCTTCAGCTCGTATTATCAGCAAGTACATTATACGCGCACACATGTCTCTGGTTACATCATGCGATTACATCGTGCGCGCACAGATGTAAACGCCATGTGAAGCGCACGTCATAACGCTCGAAAAAACGCTCCCTAGGATTATGCAATTCTGCTATGCGCTGTTTTTCTTTTTGTTTTTTTTTTGTTTTTTAAGGCGAACGCAATAACTTTTTTATGGAGCGGAGCCTGCGGCGTCTGTAACCGCGAAAGAACGCAAAAGAAATGCCCATCTTCCCATTGGCTGAGCGAAACGGCTCCTATATTGCCATTGGCGGCCGCTTTAAGAGACAGCGCACTCGGACGCCGCTCTCCGCTCTCGTGTCAGGCGTTACCGGAGGAAGGGAAAGGGGGGGGGGGAGGGGGGGCTGCGGCCACTTCACGAGAGCGCGCGGTCGGCCGCCGCTTTGTGTCAGGCGCTGCCGGAAAAGCAACGCCTGCGGCCGCTTCTGCTCCTCTCGGTGCCGAAGAACATGGCGGCGCCTGCGGTATCTACAGGGTGCGGCCGTAAAAACTTTCACATTCGGCACGCCTAGCAAAAATCGAATTTCAAACGTACATACCTGAAATTGGGCACACGAACGTCGTTTATTCCAAAGTTTTTCGCCTAATTTTTTCAGACGTCAACTAGGGAGTAGCGAATTATCAGAAAGATAACAAAAAAGGCAGACGTGCATTTCCTATGGCCTATACCAGCCCGTTCGCCGTTTGCAATCTGGTTCGCGACGCCGCTCCCAGGTGGCGCACTGAACGCGAAAACGCGGGAAACGCCGCACGAAAGGCTGGCGTCGGGCAAGATAATAGCGATGAAAAGTGATTTTAACGAAATATATGAACGATTGCTGAAATTACCTGTTTCAAGTTAAGTTTTGACAGATCGTCATGCAAGCA